CTTATTTTTTATTCTCTTTTTTTTTCTTTACAAAAACATAAAACACAAAAATATAAACAAAAAACAAAAAATAAAAAATTTTTTCTATATTAACTTCTCCACTTCGTGCCATTATGGCACATAATACAGATACCAACATTCCAACTACACCCAAAGCTAACAATCCAATTGTCCACTTTATTTCCACAATTCCTATCACACCAACACCTTTAGATTCCTCTCAGAAACGAGTCTCATCTTCGTCTTCCAACAACCACGGAACTTCAACCAATCAAAATATATCAAAACATAAGCACAAAAAAAATCGCAAAGATTGGACCGATCCATATAGAAATTCTGATCCAGAAAACCGTCGCATCACTCGCAGCATGTCCTCACATGTGCCCTATTCCAAATCAGATATAAACACAGAATATTCACATGAACTTGATAGTTCACTCAGCACAGACACAGAAGATCTTAACCATCAATCAGATACCCATGAAATGGACATTCAATTCCCACCAATAGATTATAGTAATACATCAAACAATCCCCACACAACTCCCAATCATAATAATAATGCCAATAACACAGATGAACACAAAAACTCTCAACAACAATGGCGCACCATACCCAGCCATAAAAGATATAATGCATGGATCTCTAGCTCATTATTCGAAATAGAAAATTCAAAAGAACTCAACACAGTGGCACACACACATTTCAGCGCACTCCCTGGATACATTTCCCACAAACTCATCAAACTTAACTCACAAAATTACTTTCAAATCTCCTTTACATCCTCTCAACATCTACAAGTAGCAATCTCACAACCCATTCTTGACCAACATCACCTCTTATCAGAAAAACCAGCAAATAGCAATAATAACAATATTGATAATATAATCGCACTACGTGATATTCCTCTCAATACTTCAGAAACACTCTTGCGCAACATTTTCTCCCAATTCGGCACAATTCAAAATATCAAATCAAAAATAACTGGTCAATGACAATACACTACAATTTGCTTTGAAAATAAAGAAGCAGCTGATAAAGCACTTGCAAATTAGTCAATTTTACTTGGACAAGATAGTGTACGAATCTTACCTCCAC